TAATGAATGGCCATAAAAATAGTATAATTTTAAAATAATTTTTTTGACAAAATATCATTACATATACATACATAACATAAGATAACATTACAACATGTGTTTCAATAACAAAAGTGTTCTTTCACTTTCTGTTTCACTGTTTTCAATCACCTGTCAATGTCTTTTGTTGAAAATGGAATGCTGTCAATAGAGCAGAAAAATGTTCATTTTGGAAACATTAAATGACAGCAAATTGGCGAACACAAGTCTTTAATTTTTTATATCTGAGCTTATAATCTCATGGAGATTAAATAAAATTGTATGCCATAATATTGTATCATTGGTGAATAGTGTGAATTTCCCTTCTTTGTGTAAAACAAAAAAGTGTCAGTCACAGTATTGAGTCTTGCTATACAGCATTTTTTCTAAAATAGATTATTTACAAAAATGGTCCTAATATGGTTCCCTGTGGAATAGCAATAGGTAGTGTAGTCTGTGCAAAATTTGATTGTCAATTAATTGAATCAAGTTATTTTTTAGCTACTACTAATATTTTCAATATATTTCAGATAATAGAGGTTTCATGACATCTAATGGACAACCGGATAACTCGAGAGCATCCAGATACATTCTTAAAGACTACATGAATGGAAAACTCTTGTACTGTCACGCACCTAAAGGTGTAGACCAAAGTACTTATCATACTTGGCCTGAAAGGCAGAAAATAGTTTCAGAAAGTAAAGTTCTACCACCCAGAGCTGTACTTGCCATCAAGGTATGTCTAACTTATTTCCTTCAATCGTAATTTTTCATTCTTTCTTTAAACATTTTTCCAGCCTTGCTACGACACAGTTGAGGATATAGACAAAGTGTTTTTCAATCCCGCTAAAAAGGCAGTTCACGCCAAAGGCCTTCCTGGGAAAGCAATCAATTTAACAAGGTAAAGAAATCCATTCATATATAGTTATTCTTCAGATTAACCTGCATTTGAAGTTACTGTTCTTACATTACAGCCTTCATATTTTGTTGAATCTGAACATCTCGTATGGACTGCAGTGCACAAAAAATATATCAAATGGTTCCAAAAGTTGATGCACACCTCCAAAAGTGATGTAATGATGTAAATTCCTTCATAAATATGTATTTTGTTCAATATTCATATTACAATAATTATAAAAGAATTGATAGGAAACTGATAAAGCTCCAAAGAGGGATCATTTTAACCAACAATTAGAAAGTACAATATTCACCGTGAAAAACTCTTAACAATTGAGAGGAAATCATAAAAAATCTCCTGCCAAGTTAATTGGCCTTGAAAGAACTGAATATCTTTCATCATTCTATAGCAGAAAAACTAATGAATTCAACCAGATCAAAAGGATATTTCCACCTTTTTTAAAAATGACTGAACTAATCGGAGTATTTCAAGATGACAATCCAAATCTATCAGAATTTTTCAGGCCTATTTCACTATTACTAACCTAGAGAAGTTGATTAAGAAAATAGTACAGCTTGTCTATTGTAGAAAGAACTTTCTAAATTTCGATAGGCCATTAGTTGCGCCTTCAGCGTTGAAGGTAACAGCGATCAGTTGCAATAATAATCTCGTCATGCTTGACAAGCGCTAGTATCCATCCTCTTTCGTCCTTATGCATAGTCTATCAGGGTCAGGGAATGTGCAATTTATGAGAATTCTCGAATCATTTCATAGACTTGACAAGCTGTCCCAAGCTTTTTTAAACTATATTCCTCCCAAATTGGTTTCCAAATGTCAAAAACCAGACTAGCCGCAATGTTTATTTTGCTTCAAAATTTGTATATTCAGCTGAATACTGGTGAAGTTGCCACTGCAGTCTTTAATGATTTGAGGATAAATACTTCTACAAAATTTGAATTGGTTCAAATCTTATTCATCACATCAAATTGGGAATGAAATGTAACGTTCCGCAAAGGTCTATTCCCAGCCTGCTTTCCTTGCTGTATGTAAATAATCAGGATGTCATATAAATTGTAGGGAAATTCACAATTTTACAGATGATCTGTCTGTTGGATTCTGTTTTTTCTGTTAACCAGCCGTTACATTCATTCTGATACATCTATACTTTGGATGAAGTTGGAGAAGTAGAAAACCGAGAAGCTTTTTCCCAAAATTAGAATACCTTACTAGATAATGGGGAAAATGATACATCAAGAGTCAAAGAATGAAGCGATGAGAACTTACTGTCTTTTAATTTATCTAATACCAATATAGTTAATATCAAATGCAATTTATATTACATTGCTCTTAGTGAACAATTCATTGATTCTAAAGAGGAGAATGAATTTAGATAATGAAGAGTTTCAAGATCACATCAGTAAAATTTAGCAAAAAATTTTTTTCAAGTTATGAAATGTTTTTCCAAATAAAATGAATTTGTTATTGAATATTGTTGATCGTCATATGGTAGACGAAACAGAACTTGTATTGATTTCTTACTAACAGTGAAAATACAGGTGATACTAGAGCACAAAGACAAACAATTCTCGATTCTACCAGACAGCACTGTCTCAACCCGTCATTAGTCTCATAAGTGGTCCTGAATGAATATGTAAAAGTGTATCCGTGTGTATGTGCGATATAGTTTTTTTTGTGTGATTTTCTGTTATGTAGTTAAAAATAGAATAACTTATTTTGATTTTTATGTGTAGATAAAGTACATAAATATGTTTATATTAGGCTTGCCTATCTGGAAAAAAGTTCTTGTTCCTAAACCTATACGCTGGACTGTCTACAATGCGTTACATATACAAACATCTTAATAGAGTTCTTTGTCTGAGGTACAAATCTTACATCACTGGAACCGTTATTAAATCCACCATTATTAAATCATTTATAAAAACCTTTTGGTGTAAATAGATATTTACTAAAAAGTTGGAACCTAGACTGAATGTTTTTTCAACATTTCTTTGTATAAGATGTAATATCAATGAAATAAAAATAAAACATGCAATACATACTGTGATCCTTGCCAAAACATTTGACCCTGTGATTTGGAATATATTACATAAGAATGGATTTAACCCCCCAAAGTAGGGATATGTAGGTTTTCTCTACCGCCCTCCCCCTCGGGACCCTTACATTATTAATGAATGGCCCCTTTGATCATTTTGAACATGTTCATGCACGACATCAATGTTTTCACTATAATATAAAAAATTTGTATCAACATGAAGTTCGACCTCCCCCTTCAGTTTCAAATATGATATTGAGTTCATATAAATCAAAGTGTTGGATCTAATATAGACCCTTGGACCAAACCACATGTAATACACAAACTGTTGTGTGGTTTCTAAATAATTTTAAAAACTTTTCCTAATACTAACGTTGAATAACTTTTTTTTTCTAATATTTTACGATTGACAACCAAATGCTAAAGATACTAAGCAGCATTTTTGTTTATAATCTATTTTTTGTTGAATATCTGTAATGGTTTTGAAAGCAGCCAATTCCGTATTCGTAGCTATTCGAAATCCATACTGACCATACTTTGGAAATTTGATCAACCAATAACTCATGATTTTCGAAAATACCAGGTAAATAAAAATTGACCCATAATTGTTCAAGCAACTCTTCTCGTCATTTTTAAATATTGGTGACACTTTTGCTATTTTCAGTGATCAGTCTTCTCATTCAAGTACGAGCAGCGAAATAGAAAAACCATGGAAACAACACAATAAACATAAGAACAAAGGAAAAAAAGAGAAATTGAGGAGGGTTTACGCTCATCTGGACCAACACTGATGCATTTAGGGAGACAAGAGTAGGAGTGGTTGAACTGGTTATCAAAGGGAATTACTATTGTTTTACCTTCGCGGTTTTGAAAGAATTAACCTTGTATAAATGTGATATTTTTAATACTGTTGTACTGAAAATAAACATTCGTTACGTACATTTTTTCATTTTTCCTAGCAAGTTTGAACTGAAGTTTCTTACAAGTTACTACATACAATCTGAAAAAAAGTCACGCTTCATACAAAACATAGTTTATTAGAAACAAAGAAAAAAAATTAAATAATAAATGATGGCAGAACTTTTTGATACTTATTTCTTCTTGTCATCCTTCTTCCCATCTTTATCTTTTTCCTTCTCTTTCTCCTTATTTTCTTTATCTTTTTTCGCCTCTTCTTTCTTTCCCTCCTCTGCATCTTTATTGGTAAGTTTGTTGTTGATCAAATTGTGCAAAGCCACGATAGACCTAACCAAAGCAGCGAGGTAGACAACCAACATTTGGTCATTGTTTTTTATATAGAAGGATGAGTTGAAAGTGGCTTGGTTAATATCGGGAAGCAAATTGAAGATATCCTGCAGCTGGTAAATGATTTGATGGTTAATTGGTAGTTTGCTCTCGGAGACTTGTATCAAGTAGTCTCGGATTTCCCGCAGTTGCAGGTGCAGACCTTTCAAACCTGAAGATATTGAAAAAATTGGTTAAAACTACTTAAAATAATTTCATTTCAGGAAGTCACTTCTGACAATGACACTATAAAAATATTCAAAAGTTTGATAAACACTCGTTTAATGAAAATTTTTTGATTACTCTAAAAAAAACCCTATTGTCCAAACAGGTTCAAAACTCACTGACAGGACAACTTATACAACAATCAGTAAACAAGATTATAGTCAATTAACTGGTTTAGTCACTCAAAAAATTTTTTTCAAAAAGAGTTTGTTGGGTGACAGTATCAATTTTCCCTTTAAAAAAAATTTAATTTTCTTGCCAACATTACGAATTTAATGAAAAATTTTAGGACTCGAAAAGGAGTTTCTTCGTGTTAAAAATATAACTATTTTAAAAACATGAGATCTGTTTTTCCGTTAATCAGCTGTCGCCCCCATACGAACGACAACTCTCAGTGATTCCTAATACGGATACATGATAAAAATAAAAAAGCGCTAAAATAATAGATATTTTGAGACAACAACACTTCACAAACACATGAAACAAACAAATGGCTTTGTCTATGATCATAGACCAAATGTCTGATTTTTTGAAAATACTTATATTTTCAACTCGGAGAAACTCCTTTTCGAGCTCTAAAGAAGAATTCAATTGAAATAGAAAAGTGGGCAAGAAAACAATGGCTTTTTTTTTAAATAAAAATTGGTTCTGTTATCCAACTAACCCTTTTTGAAAAAAATACTAATAGTAATAAGAAAATTATTGAACAACCTGAAATTACCAAATATACCTGTAGTCAGTGAAAAACAATGCATAGGTTTCATAGCAACAACAGAGATATTCTTGAATAATTTCATATCTCATATACCCTAGATAGTGGAAGATTTTGAGTTCAAAAATAGAAGTTACTTTCAGATACAAACAAAGAAAAATCCCTCCTGGAACATGATTCAATGTTCATATGAAAACAGTAATTTCAGGTTAAGTAACTTCAATGCATACTTTACAGATCTTTGTGGAGAATGTATTTTGAACTAAATTGCTTTTTTCCTTCTTTCGGAAGTTTCCCACATTTTTGTATGGAGATGGAGAAATGAAAAGCCAAGAAAGTTTTTTCCCAACAAAACATTTATAGTTGAAGTATTGTACTCAATTTTTTGTTAGACAGTAATGTAATGGATCCTGAAAATAGGTGTTTCATCACAAGTCTTATTGAATTTATTGCATAAGGAATGAATTGGAGATTTGCTTAAAATATTGACTATTACTGTAGGTAAATGGATACAAAGTTCATTTCTACTGTTCAAATGAGGCATATAACAACACAATTGGGATAACAACTCTGGTTTCTAGTTTCATAATTATGATAATCTGAGTTTTTGGAGAGTAGTATTTTGTTTTTATGTATTTCTAACAGTGAGTAGAAAATCAACAATACGCGCCAAACTAACTGACTATTATAAGACAAGTATACCTGAGGCACCAGTCAATCTAATAAAAACACTGATGAACTTCAAACATGACTCAATCTCTGAAGGAAGCACCAAATTCTTACGAAGGTTCTGAATAGATGAACACTTCAATCTAGCAGACCACTATTATAATCTTCATGCAGTTATTGTTCACTGTGGTTCTGGTGTTCAATCTGGTCATTATTAAGCATTGGTCAAAGACGAAACGGATTAGATTAAGTTTGATGATAGTCGTGTCACTAAATATTCTGGCAATATACCCTATACCCTACATTTTATTCTATGAAAAAGAGAACATTGGCAGATCAAGATCTTTAGATGATGTGGTGCTACAGGTTTTGTCGGGTTTTCCTGCAGTTGAAAAAGCGAATTCGCTACTGGAATTAATAAAGTCGCCTCGTAGCGCCAATTAATTTTTGTTGTTTCATAATTTCATACTTTATATTACTTTCTTTTTTTTTATGTTAACAATAAATCAGAATAAGGGATTTCATTGGTTCTATTGACATAGTTACAAATCTGAACTAGAAATGAACGCAACGTTGTAATGTATTAAAAAAAAAAAGAAATCCTCCTTTTTTATTTAGAATATACTCTCTGAAATTGAAACAATAGTTGAAGTTTGTGTAACATTTCATTTGAAAAATATGCTAATTTTTTCTACTTCTACTCTTAATTTCTTTGTGCTGATGTAATAATAAGTCACTTTTTGTACTGTGGCTGTAATGTGTTATATATCTGGAAGGTTATGTCGAGCAGCAACCCTATTGATCACAACTCCTGTTGTTATCAATTTGCATTTTAATATTTGATTTTATTTGAAAAACAAACACATTATTATCGTTATTAATAAAAACAAGAGAGTAACATAGATTAAGTTTAAAAGAGAATGATTATCTTTTTGTCTTCTAACTCAAGCAGTCTTGTAGAATTTTTTTGTAATATTCAATTTTCACATAACTTGAAACAAAGAATGAGTAAGCAAGTAAATACCTAAGAGTTGATTGGTTATTCGTTGAGACAACGTGCCAACTGTGGTATCTTTGATATCCCTCAGAAGGTGCTCCACTCCCACCTCCTCTGCTTCTTCCGCCCCTATTTCGCTAGGTACATGCTCAAATGTTTTGGAAGTGGGCGATCCATCATCGTGGACTTCCTCCACAGCTTGGTATGCCTCGGTTGGGAGGCCTAGATCCTTCGGTTTGGCATCAATTATTACCAACACAGAATTGGGACAGTATCTCCTAATTAGTTCGTTTATTGCTATGTCATTCTGGTCTAATTTTGGACCTGTGTGGTACCAACCTACCACTCGCTCCCTAGCATTTACTTTTTTGAACATTCCATACATATTTTCCAGGTAGTCGTGGTCCAGAAACCACACGGATTTATCTTTGTCATCTTCATCAAAAGGAACTAGAAAAATCAAAAGATGTTGTTTTCCCTCAACTACAGCTTTTACCAATATTTGCTCTCACCTGCAAAGCTATTGGAGACGTCGAGGACTCCTTTAGCTCGCCAACAACCCAAGAGAACTCCTACAACACGTTTCTGGTTACCAATTTTTCCCATGCGATTAAAATGGTCTACAACGCTCAGCAACACCAAGGGGTGCACTATTACTTTTGTTGTCGACACTTCTTGACTAGGCATTTTCAGTTTATCTTAATTTTTAAAGACTATGATGATACTTCAAAATTTAACAATAACCAAAAACGTCGACTGTCGACTGTCGATGCCAATTTACCAATTGTCAACTGTCAAACATAGAAATCTACAGAACAGAACTTAAACCCTGTGTTTTATGGATGAGAATGTTTTGGCTTCTATCATCTTTCTACAAAAAAAATGGTATTTTCCAAAAAATTAAGAAAGCAATCGATTTCAACATGAACTATCCACAAAAATGTGTAGATCATGCAAAGAAGTAACTTTCAGACACAAACTGGAAGAAAAAACACTCCCGAAACAATTACTTTCATAAAAACATTGAATTACACGAAAGAAATAATATTCTCGAAATAAGTTCTCACATATGTCCATTGAATTATAAAAAAATAAACTTCTGATCAGTTTCTACTCCAAATATTCGTTATGGAGTTGAATCGGATGTCGTTCACAGGAATGCTACACAATGTAATATATGAAACATTTACATGAAACACTATAATCCTCAATGGCGGACATCCGATGTTTCGGAATAAGACATTTACCTTATCTATGAAAAAAAAAATGGATTCAAATTCCTTGACAATGTTACATACAGAACTCAAATAGGGAACATGGAAGTGATTTATTATTCTTTCAAATGGTTGATATTATTCTTAGACACCTCAAACAGTCTGAAAAACTCCCCAGAACTCTATATTTTCTTCAAATTTGAGAAAAACCTACAAATCGATTTCGATCTGACCTTGAATTCAAATGACTTCCTCCAAAACGCTAGCGCCACTTCTGGTTATGATAATAATAATAATACATTTATTATTCACCAATATATAAAGTAATATAGAGTAGTTTTTCAATAACAAAAACATCTAATGAAGCTAAACAAAAGGAGAACCGTTAAACTCTGCAGCCAATTCTTTCAGTCCACTTAAGAACATTGAGAAAAACCTCGGCTGCAATCATAATTAATTATCAATAATAGTAATAGAATCGACTACAGAGTAATTAATTATCAATGCAAAAAGAAAAATTGCTTCCACTATAGATTTACAAAATACGAACACCTTTTTCAGAATCAAGAACTATAATAAAGAACCACGCAGAGGTTTCGAAAACCACACTGTGTTTATAACTAGTTCGGGGATATTTATGAAGACTAACTTCTATTTATGACCCTGATTCTACAGATTCACTGTATTCGTATATAATTGAATTTAAACAGAAATGCTCGTTCCTGCTTTTTGGAATATTCGCATTTTTGTTGCGAATCGCAAAATAACCATCGCGTAGGGCGTTTATACTTGTACGGCATATTTTCATGAGAACACTCTGTTATCTGCTGTCAGTTCTCTTTTTCTTTCAATAATGAAAAATCACAAATCAACAGTTGCTTCGTTTATGATAAAGAACACATATTGAATGAAATCAGTTTATAGGTGAGTCTGGAAAATAACAGGAAAAATAATTCACCATGTCTACCTTAGAGTTACAGCCAGCTTTTCTAAAGGAGGAATTGATTCTATAATACCAATTCGCGATAAAGTCCAAATATTTCAACTTTATTGTGAAATCAATCGGACAATCAAGACTGGGCCAAAACATAAATTCTTTGTTAACATTTTAAGATGGATTTCCGAACGCACTACCGGTCATTTTCTCTTCGGGCTTCGGGTTCGTTCGGATTGATCGTGCGCAAAGAAGAAGAATACCAGAATGAGATTCTGCGCATGTCGAATATATAATCCATTGCAAAAGAGACAAGGCGAAGCAGTCTAAAAATGTCAGTATTGGTATTTCGAAACGCCATTTTGCAGAACTGGTGAAGACTTAATCCGTTTTTATCTTGGCAATAGTTAGATTTTCAATTTGGAATTCGTAAATTCCAAAGCAGTTCAGTGAACTTCAGAAGTTCCTCCATATATTTTTGTGATAGTTACCAGAACAAGTGAAGTGACAGTTTTGTTTTGATCTGTTAGCGACCAAACTAAAAATGGCGTGTGCAACTCTGAAGAGGTCTTTGGATTGGGAACCCGTTTTGGGGGGCCGACCCACGAAAAGGCGACGATGCGTGCCTTTCTGTTCGAGCCCCACACAGGGGGGAATGGGATCTCCGGGACCGTCTACTTCGACTGGCTCGGCATCCCCGAAAAGTTCGGTATTTCCAGACGTCAAAAAGTTGACTCCCGGTAAGTGCATCTCCCATTTTTGAGTTTAACGGTTTTTCTGCAAATCATAATGGGTGAAAAAGACATTTAGCCATATTGTATTTTTGATTGCCTTAAATTATGATTTGTGTTGACAATTGATTTGTCATCAGCTGATTGGCGACATGTTGATGTTTATAGTTGAATTTTGTCACTTTGTGACTGAAGAATGATAAGATCAAATTAATTTCTCATATTTAATTATTATGTTCTTTGTTAAAATACATATGCACATTTTTATCATTTTTCCATTCTTAGTTTATACTTCTAAATATTGATTGAACATGAGAATTATCTAATGATATAAACACAATGAAATACCCATTATATTTATTGTATCTGCTTTTAAGTTGAATGTTGAAATTTTTCTGCCGGTTCCAAAGTTTAACAAAATGAAGACCTTTTTGATTTTTTGTTGCCTATGAAATATTTTATCTATTCTTACATTGAAGAATTTTTGACACAATTGTTTTTTTACTTTATTGTTGTTGAAGTGAGGGTATACATTTAATGTCATTCTGATTTTGTTTGTAATTATAAGGTAAGTCTGTAATTCAGACTTTTTGAGTGCAAATAATGCAGTGATTAGACCAAGGAATTATTTAATTTAAAAATTATGTTCATACAAGATATTTTTTCAGCTTATTTATAGTCTATTGAAGAATTATAAATAAAATATAATTATTGTGCTTTGAAATACAATCTTTTGGACGCCGTGTCATGGTCATAAATGGGACAGGTACTTCTTTCAAGATGTAATTTCGACATCTCATGCTCTTAATTCAGACAGACCCTTTGAATTTCGATAAATAAGGAAATGAAGCAGGTCATTGAATTTTATTTGAAAACACATCAAATTGAATATGTATAATCAACATTTCTAACTTTAGATTAATATTTAATCATTTCACAACAGAATAGCCATGTCTATTGATTCCCTGTGGTGGTTTTATTTTTGCCTGAGTTTTCTCATAATCATACCAAATCTAATGGGGTTCTTGGGGCCATTTCTAGTTGATTCCACTTTTATGGAACACCTTGCTTGGTCCCAGTTCTTTAATAATACCAGGAAATTATGTGTTCATGTTAACAATCATTTAGTCATCAACTGATAAATTATTTTCATCCAACTTGTCATCACTTTTTAGTTCATTTTCAGATTCTTCAAGGATATTTTTCGTAATTGCCTTACTTCCCCTAAGTTATTTTATTTTTTCAGTTTCTCTAATGTTTTCTTCTCTTTTACCTTTTTTTTCAATTTGTTCTGCTTCAATTCCATCTTGTTCTTCTTTTATGTAATATTGCTTCCAACAATATGAAGTTTTAACTGAAGGGATTTTCTCCGAGTTTTTTTTTCTTGTTTGGCCTCGTGATGATTCATTGCCAACTGACTGTTTTTTCATTCTGTATTTCATGTTAAATTTCAGTATCTGTTTCCTTTGTCACTGGAATGTGTACTTTCAACTTGCTGAAATGCATTCAGTTGAAAACTCATTTTGGTTTGTCAATTATATAAACCGGTATATTATAGGCTGACTTGCTTCCTTAGAAGAGTCCACTAGATCACCTTGCATGACTCCTCTAGATGTATAACGTAGGAAAAAAAAATTGGAATGAACTGGAATGAATTACTTTACAGGAGAGCATAAAAACTGATTATTTCCTTATGATTTATTAGCTTACATATCAGAAACGTGAGAGTTGGAGTTTTTTTAGATTTCAACTTTCATGTTTCTGATGAGGAAGTTAGAAATGATTTGAAACTAGCAAATCATTAATCTTCAAAATGATTAGATTCATTGGGTAATAATGTGAGGGCACATTATTTCTGAGCAATTGCTGTGACTGAGATTATAATATAAAAATGATAATCTTCTTCAAGGCAAGTTTTCAGGTCTTGGAGGTCCTTAAACTTCCGTACAACACTTGTGAGTAACCTAACCTCTTTGTTGCCCATCAAGGATATATTCTACATACGACTTTTTACAGTAAAAACAATTTGTTGCACAACATACGACTTTTTTACATTTAACCATAACTTATAAGAGATCAGTTGATGACATACAATATTTTTGTAGCAGTTGCAGACTGCAAAATGTCACCTTTAGTAAAATAAAATGAAAATAGACAATTTTTACATACGACCTTTTGCACTAACAGTAACGATATAAAAAAAAAGAAAAATAGTGGTAAAATTGAGAAATCATTTAGCGGAAGTTCCTAGACAGACTTTATTCGAAAATATAACTAAGCTAAATTTTGAGTATTTCACTAAACTCTAAAAATGATTTTATCCAAACACTAGGTCAGAAACAACAAATGAAAGCTGGGATGTAACTGAAGAAAGTAAAGAATTGAAGGATATATTTTATATCAAATTATGAATCCAATTCAAATTTGAAGGATGGATTTGAGTTGAAAACATGTCAAAAATAAAAGCCTCCACATTACAATGTTCTTACCGAAATTATTCAGACAGTAGGAAGTTATACCAGATTTCAAAATTAAGTGAAAGCCTTGTTTTCACTAAATGCTATTATGGTTTCGAAGAACTTTCTTATTCAATAAGTTTTTGAAATAAACAATAAAGTTATACATCTTCAAATATGTTTTTATAAAATGTTTTTGTACATGTATCTGGAAGTTTGTATATTTTATTTGTATATATATAACATATTTATACATACAAACATACAGAATATAATATAACATTACAAACATTTCAATAGCTAGTGTTCGTGCCTGTAGAACGTATATTTTCTATCGTGGCATAAACAGTCAAGTAGCGCTTTCACTATTCATATATGGTAAGTTAAATGATAAACATGATTGTCCAAACATGAAAAAAATTAAAAGCAAAGCAAAAATCATAAACAAAAAAATGTTCAAGTATAAAATATATTGATCATAATTATTTTTTTTCAGAAGAAAAAATTTTTTTCAATGTACCTAATTTTGAATTTCCTGAAGTTATTAGTTTTTTATTTGTTCATGCAATTTATTAAAAATGAAAAGTGGAAAAGTATAAATCTTTCTGAGCAACTACAGAGCTTGCAGCATCAAGATGAAACTGATTTTTTTGCTTGATTATAATTGGTGTGTTGGAGTGTCATGTGGAGTACAATACATAAGTTTTCATAGTTTTGTGTTAATAGTGTGTTTATGCAAATGATTATTTCAATTTTGTCTTATTGAGTTCTATATGAACATAACTACATACAAACTACCAATTCTGTCATTTATCAAAACTTCGTTTTTCAGAAAACTTGATTGATAACCTAAAAGCTGAAATTAAAAGACTACAAAGACGTAAACAGCTACAATACAATACGATGGAAACCTCAGATGGTGGAAGTTCGGGAGGAGAGTGTTCCGAAAGTCCACGTGCTGATAAACCTTTGTTCACATTCAAGCAGGTAATGCATTAAAAAATTGTAGTTTGCAACTATTCTTTAATGGGATGCAGCTTGTGCACTTCGTAAATAATATTGTGTCATAGGTTGGTCTCATTTGCGAACGTATGTTGAGAGAGCGTGAATTGGAAATAAGGGAAGAATACGACAACGTTTTGACAACAAAACTTTCCGAACAATACGATGCCTTTGTCAAGTTTACTTATGATCAAATTCACAGAAATTACGCCAATACCGCACCTACACCAAGTTGTAAGTACCATTTTTTAGTTTGAATTGTTTTTAGGAGAAAATAATTTCTGGAAAAGTTTTGGCTTTCTACTTCTCCATCTTAATACAAAAACAACTTGGGAATCTTACACGAATCATAACTTTGTTTGGCTCAATTCTCATTTAGTTAGAATGAATTGAATAAACTAAAAGATTCGTTTTTTGTTCAATGACGGAGGGGTATAAAGCCAAAGAGCTTTTTTATCCCTTCTAATCTTTTTCTTTCTGAAAAGTTATATCAAGTATTATTTGTGAAATTAATAATCATTTGTTCAAGTTTATATGTTTTTTCTCTTCCAGATTTATCATAAGACGTGACGCAACAAAATGAATCCATGTAGCGCCGTGCTAGAGCCACATATACAGTCGTTAACTATCGTTTATACACAACATATTGACGGAACCGTATTACAAGCTGCAAGATGCCTTAGACTATATCCGTATTTCTTGCAAGCCAATTGTATATAAAACTCTGATATACCACCTTCTTTTGTAATATCTTAAGGTAACGCATATTATATTTGTTGATTATTTTCTGTAAATATTCTTTAAATAGGACGTTAAGTACTTTTGTGACAGCGGTCAAGTTTCAGGTATGTGTACTACAGAGGATTCGTGTTTTGTTTGCCAATTTTCTTTTGGTTTTGAACATCCCTTTCAAGGTGTTGCTCTTTAGTAAAAATCAAAGACTTTTGACCCATAATGTAATATAATTGAGATTAAGGAAGGTTTATATTTTCCTTGTTGAGATATTGAAGTTTTTTGTTCTTTATGGAATGGCACACTATTGGTTATTCATTCTGTACCTTCCTGTATCGAAAGAATGACAAATGCATCATGTTTTCCAGTTAGATTACTCATTCGACATCTTTGAACGTAGAATTCCTTTGATATTTTTAATAATGAAGTACATTCCTCAAAAATAACTGATTGTTCAAACATTTTTACGGTGACATAGATATGGCAATCGCAGATTATGTTTTTGAGAAAGGTGATGTGGCCCATAGCGACCAATCTCAACAAGTTTTGAGAGCACCATACTAAGGAAATAACGAGCAACATAGTATATACGATGAGATTGCATCCCTGGCCTGTCAATTGTAAGCAAAGATCAAACTGATGTTTCTCGGTCAGGTGAAAATACTGAAAGACATTTTGTCAAGTTGCATATGCGGGAATTCTAAACGATAGGTTTTAATCCGAAAACTGTAGCAATAGTGACTATTTTTAAATTTTTATAATCTGTTAAGTGTTGACTGGAATGATTTTTTGAGTGTATCAAATCTGATAGACAACCTCAATTGAAATATGAATATTTTTTAGAGCTAGCTAAGGATAAATCATGAGAAAGTTTCTATTTTTTGCCGTTGGAACATCTATTTTAGCGTAGTTTAGAAATTATAAGGTGAAAATTCTCGTATTTAGGTTAAGCTGTACTGGATTATTTTCGCTTTCGTGTACAACCTGTGGCTTCTTATTTATTTAAGCTTTTCTATTGCCCAACAAATCTACTTTCAAATACCATTTAGTGGTCAGTCATTTTTGTTTACCCGCAACTGTAGAATTCGTTAACTTTAAGGTTGAGTTGTTAAGTTACATTCAATAAAAAATGGGCTTTATTAAATCTGAGTTTCATTTTTCCAGGTATTGTATAAACTATTTTATTTATTTACGGGCCCGCCCCTTTATTTATAAATTCATGGGAATTATATATTTATCACAGAAAAAGAAAGAACATGTAAGTTATATTAAAATTACATTCTGCAATTCATCTGAAAATGGGGACAGTAATAAAAGCATTAATGCAGAATACTGTTACACTGGGGCTTGAATTTTGACAGAAAAATATTTGTGAACTATCAAGAAGCACCATGTTCTCCTGCAAAACGTTTTTTTTTTTGAGATTCTCCTGCCCTTCAAAAATTGTTCTCTTAGGGTTTTCATAATACCGAACTCCTATATAATTGCAATAGTTTCAATCACGAATTGAAAGTAAATTATAATCTTTCTTCATACAATAAAACTATCCAATTCAAACTATTCAAATCAATTTTCTACATTGAACTTTGTTCTTTATGAATTGAGTATGGTTGCACTGAACTTGCCACATTATTATTTTTCTTAGCGACATTTATTCATTCTTTATTTAGATAACTGAAATTTTCAGTAATGACTAGAGACTAGTGGTTTGTTTCAACCACGCTTTTTGTATCATTCCAAAATCTTACACTGCATCGAAATAAGTTTGTTAAGCGCATGTGCGTACTGTGTACTACAATTTTTCTAAGAATTTCTAAACCTGGGTTGGAACGGTTTGGGAACTACTTTGTAACAGGCATTATAGTCTTGGGAGGAAGATTTTTGCCTTTTGAAGTTAATATTGGGAAAAATGCATATCAATGCCGCATATAATTTATTGTTGATTTTCAAAAATGGAGAAGAGTGAAATAAATGTAATAGATGGTGAGTTTACATAAATAATTTTTTACAATGCCATACATTTTAGAGCTTCAACAATTAGTAATATTACCATCCACATGTAATTTGCAACCGGCGTCAGCAGATTAAAAAAGAGTTGATTTAAATGGTTAGTGAACCATACAAAAATGCTATTAGATTTATACAAAAATTTCACACAAAAGTTGGGACACTAGAAATAAAAAACAAAATGGTAATGTGACAGACTATCACAAAAAAATTAATGAAATACATATAAACGTTGAAGAAGATAAGTCTGAATAGTCACTTTCCTTGCTCATATTCAACAAGATCGTAGAACAATAACACAAAATATCAAAATAAATAGGTCACCAATCAAACAAATCAAAATAACTACCATAAACAAACACTAACTATAAAAAATAGGTTATCAATCAAACAAATCAAAATATGGCACAAAAAGGCTTGTTGATAAACAGTGTTTTTGTTGAATTACTATGTTAAAAAGTGATTCAAATTTCGTATTTGGTATCAAACTGTGAGTTGAATTGCAAGCAGTCATCTGAAAATATTACTTTTGTGGTCACATCAAAAATAAGTTCGCATTTTTCATCTGAAGTGTCACGAATTGAAGCAACTTACCACATAGAAAACAAAGTAAGAAAGTGAAAGTGATAGAAATAACATTAAAAACACTATAAACATTTGTCATAGTCCAGCAAAATTAGGCATTTATCATGGCTGGGGTTTGTTGTAAATGTAATGAGTCTTGTGTTTTGAAAGACAGTAAAACAGCTATGTTTGGTTACCTTTGTGACCAGTGCAAAAGAATTGTTTGCAAATCCTGTGCTTGGGATATCATCTTCGAAGATTCGTGCAGTTATAACCACAACCAGAATAATGTTGTTCCACTGTCCTTTATGTAGAATTAATAACATACCTCAGATTAATCAGAGACTCAATGATATTGGACAGAAATCCAGGACCATACATCACCTCTCAATGGGAAGTTAGTCACATTGGAACAGAGGATCCTTAGAATTAACCAATTCATAGAGTCGAATAAGCTAATTGAATAGAGATTATTGAAAATTGAACAAATCACTTCAGCAAAGACTCTCAACATTAGAACAGCTCTTAGAGAGCTCTAGGGCCAGCTCTTCAAATCAAAACAATGGTGAAATTGGGACAAACTTAGCAGATTGTGAAACCTTCATACTGGAGATAGAAGAAAGAAAGAGAAGATCCACAAACATAATGGTTTACCAGAAAACGAAAATACTGATGTTGATAAAAGGAAACTAGGTCAAGAATTCAAGGACATGATACCAGAAGATTGTATAAAAAAGTTTTTCGCATTGGGAAGAAATCAGGTAATAATGTGCAACGTCCGTTGAAATTGATTTTAAATGACTCACACTTTGTTTTAACTTTACTGAAAAATAAAGATAAAATTACCAGTCCTGACTGTTCCCGGCTAAAGATATCATCTGATTTAACTTTCCAACAAAGAAAGCACTTGAAATTATTGAGTCAACAATTGAATACAAGAATTTCATCTGGGGAAACTGATTTGACAATAAAGTATGTAAACGGTATAATGGTATTTAAGCAAAAAAACGCCTGAAACCGGGTAGTCAACAGTAAGCATTTGATTTCTTGATTTATTATTAAAATGTAGGTGGTACGAGAACTAAATTAATTGAGTTTCAGCAGTCTGTCTCTATTTGTTCGTATGGTCAAGTTTCAGGTATGTGTACTACAGAGGATTCGTATTTTGTTTGCCAATTTTCTTTTGGTTTTGAACATCCCTTTCAAGGTGTTGCTCTTTAGTAAAAATCAAAGACTTTTGACCCATAATGTAATATAATCATGTATCGAAGCAACTTCGTAAGAACTAGTACAGATAGACTCTTGGACTTGGTTTTTTCAAATATCATTCATTTGGAGGTATCGAAAGCAGATGCCGTATTGCTTCCAAGTAGTATGCATCACGAACCCATTGCTATTAGTTGTTGTGCAAGTGAAGGAAAAAACTTCACTATCGAGAATACTACCATGACTTTAAAAATGCAGACTACCCGGCAATTGACAATTTTTTCGCAAACATGATACAATAAACTTTTTTGTTCCTGTGAAGTTGTACAAAACTTCACAATTCCCTGCTTGGTTCAGTCCAGAATTGAAACATCTTGTAAAAGAGAAAACAAAACTTCACAAACGGTTTAAGCAATCTGGNTTCTGACACCTACTACAAAGTCCGGCGGCAGCTCGAAATTCTTCCACATGGGCGTGGAGCCCTCCTCAGCCGGGTCTGGGGGAACTTTCGTTTCTTTCAGTAGCTGCAGCAACTCGTTCTTTATCAGCGGATTCACGGAGAATCTGTAGTTTCCTGTTTGGCTATTTTTCTCTGCGATGTTTTTGGTCTTTCTGTGCTTGATTTTTTTCTTCATTTTAGGAATTTTCGAATGGAAAAATGGCGTTTCTAAAAGTCTCGTGACAGCAACTGACTTAATTGAAAGTGTCACGGTTTCGTTGTTGAAAGACATAAATTATACATGGTGTGTCAAATTAATGCAATAATAATTACCTGTGGAAAAACAATGTCAGAAATCTGAATGAAAAACGAAAACTAATAAATATTTCTTTAATCAAATATTTTTGACAAAACTCTCAACAATGATCACAATTTTTTTTCAACGAAAAATAGACTATACACTTTCAAAAATTCACGTATATATTATATTTGGCATATTATATTTATTGGATTAAATTTCAAAAATCTTAACGATGAAAACAGTAACAACCTGGGAAAATTCGAGAAATTATTCATTACATATGAAAGAAACTTGACAAAACTAAACTGAAAAAAAAATTACTTTCACGAAAAGGGTTCAATGATATCGGGTGAAATCAATCACGGTTCAAATATAAAATACTCATTCTCAGTACTAACAATTTTTTTCAGATATTTCTCTACTAGGAGTACACTGTTGGGATAAAATTTCTAGTAAATGATAAAAAATGCATTGCAAACGAATCTTCACAGCGGAGTTCAAAAACGTGAAAACGAATAGATTATTTATTCTAAATTCATTGATTGAATTCAACAATTTTATTGTTCTACAAATATTCATGGAATTGAAGTTTATACTTGAAAGGTTGATATTTTATGAAATTTCTTTTCACTTCCTCTGAATTGCTTATTAACCATATTTTTGAAAAATCCCATTGTTATTCCAAAATAAGACTCTTAACTCTCTAAAATATTATTCTTCTCCTGAATATTTCAATATTCAAAGTACTCATACCACATATTATTGTATAATGAATTGTTGAAGTTAAGCACAGTCATGATATGATGCTAATAGATATCTGTTGTTATGTTCATATGTCGTATTGTCTGAATGACATACGAGGGTGGTTCTAGAAGTACCCGGCCCAACAAAGAAAAAATTATTTAATTTTTAACATAATATCCTTGCAGCTCTGTATACTTTTCCCAGCGACGTTCAATATCATTTAAATAATAAGAACTGTGTTGCTCCTTAAAATAACCATTAACTGGTAATTTTGTTCATTGCGATAATGGATTTGTGAACTGGTGCATTGTCTTGATAAAACAACATTTTTTTCTTAATCAACCCTTATTTATATCTCAGAGGATACTCACGTTAACATCAATCTTCGTGTTAGAATCAACTAGTTTAGTTCATTAGCATAAACTACATTCATTAAAATCTGACACTGCACATAATACTAGGGAAAATGGCAAATATATACCTTTATTAATCCCCAGAACATGCCAAAATTCAATTGTATACAATGGTACGAAAATGTTCAACCATCTACCGAAGCAAATTAAAAATATTCATAGCACTCCGAAATTCAGAAGAGTTTAGGGAAACAATTCAATTTTAAAATTATCAATTTCCTAAATACCCTAACTAAAAAAACTCTATCACATCTAAATCACATGTCACTGATTCACTTTCTTGCCTTTTTTAAAAGCGAATACAAATACTGTATTCTTTTTCAAGAAAGGTATAAAATATTCTATCACCTACAATCTTTCCATATTATTAGTTTGTATAACAGTTTTCTGCATACGTTAATCAATCACTGGTATTGCTTCACTACCTTTCTATTATTCACGAATTTTCCTTAGAGGTTTGCGGTTTCGCCAATATAAAATTTATCACTTCAATTTTTCAAGAAATTGATAAGACATAACTGAAACTCATATCAATAACAAACAACTATCATTACGTTATGCGCTTAATGAAAGCCTCAAATCAACCTGTTATATCCCTANAGCTATGATTCTAACAACCTCTTACAAATATAAACAAATAAATATAAATACTCTTTCCCTGTATGCTGATGGTCAGAAACTTGAATTTGTGAAAGAATTCAAATATTTAGGTTTTATGTTGGACAACAGTATGTCTTTTGGTGCACACTATAACTATATGACTAAAAAGATTTCAAAAAAACTATATTTCTTCACTAGAATTTCGAAACACCTTTCTACAAATGCGAAAATAACCGTATATAATACAATAATACAGCCCCATTTTGATTATTGCAGTACGCTGTTATACAGTTTTGACCAAAATAAAATTATGTCGCTGCAAAAGTTACAGAACAGAGGAATGAGGGTGGTTCTTGGATGTAATCGTTATGCAAGTATATGCTTTATGCTCAGTGCATTACAGTGGATGTCTATTCGTGAAAGATATTACAGGTCAGCAATGATATTTATTTTTAAGATAACCAATCATATGCTACCTTCTTATTTCGAAGAATTTATCATTTATAGAAATTCCACTCACAATTACACTACTAGACAAAATGACAATTTTCACCTGCCACGATGTAGTTTATCAAACTCCATGAAAATTTTATTATATAAAGGCCTCATTGAATATAACAAACTTCCCCAAAATGTGAAGAATAATAAAAACCTGTTTCAATTCAAAAAAGATTTGACTGATTATATGAAAGGTATCACAATAGAATAGATAGTAAGTGACTCGGTATATATTATGTATTTACGTGTACCTATATGTATATATGTATTATATCCTTACTATGTGTGCCTATATAACATGAAATATTATGTATATTATGTTTGTGTATTAGGATCTTCCTACCAATAAATCATAATTCATTCATTCATTTTTATTTAAGATTTTGAAAGGTCAGATAGATAGTCTATATTCTGGTTTGTTTCCAGATTTTGCCGTAGTCTTCTTTGGTTATAATATCCAAACGTTTCAACTGAAACCTCTTATAACCAAAGAGGACCACGGCAAACCCTGGAAACCAACCAGAACATTGACGCCAGCTATGAAAACCTACATTCCCATATTAGTCTACACTCATTAGTGCAAATTCAGTTTTACGTACCTCCATCCCGGCTATGTCTTTGAATAATAGGTTTCCACAACGAATCCAATGACTCAATCATTACAATTCGTTGATTATTCAATAAATTCTCCAAATCATTTTCTTCTTGGCATACATAAAATGTATATGTAACTATAACTTCAACGTTATCACGATTTAAATGATATATTGTGTTGTTGATTATAAGAAATTAGACATTCTGTCTCTGAATAAATAAATAATATTGTACTTTCGACTTTTTTATACTTTCAAAAAGTAATTGTGTTTGCCAATATAGTTAACATATTTGCCAAAATATTAAACATTTTTCTTTATTTTGAGCCACCAATTACAAAGAACACTAACAAACCCAGCAAAAATACTTCTAAACAGGGTTTCCACTCGATATTTAATTTTTCTACTAAAATTTCGATAATTCAGTGATGAATTCAAGTTTTGTGCTCAGACAAAATTGGCCTGGACTTGATAAAGAAATTGCACATACACCAACCACACTTCAACTTTTTTATTAACGAAAGTTTTGTGGGTGAAGTCACCTTAAAATGAAAAATCCGCATATGTTGATCGATAGTGTGGCCAATAATAATTGTAACAACCCTGTTCTTTGTTGTTACTGGTCTTCCGCCTATGCCTTTAACAATTTTTTTTCAATTTGAAAACAAGCTAAAATTGTTTCCGTTTTTGAGTATGATGATGAATCTCATAGATAATTATTATCCTATCTCTGTTTTGTCAAATTTTTCAAAGTTATCATCTAACATCCAATAGTCTTGACTTGGGAGGCCAGATAGATGTAATCTATGTTAATTACTCAAAGGCTTTTGGAAGGATATATCATGGAATTTTGTTGGAGAGGCTGAATTTTTTGGTTTATCCACAGGTATTATTCAGTTATTCAAATCATATGTTTCAGGTAGATAACAGTTCATTTTTTATAATAGCTATCATTCCAATCCATGTTTCAAAACATCATTTAATTTTTTTTTAACTCTCATGATTTATTCTGGGACAGCTCAAAACATATTAAACATGTGATGCAAAATCTGTAATATTTTACTTGTTTTTTCTACCACTGTACTTGTATCTATTTTTGTAGTATAGAAAACTTTTCAACCTCTCTTGAAATAAACTAAAAGTAAAACTTTGGTTCCAGAATATTTCAATAAACTACATTGTAAGTTTCAAATTTCAACTATAGATGAAATAGGAGATAGTTTTATGGACTTGAATCTACAAAACACAAAATAATTAACTTGTAGGAGTGAAATTTTGAGAGGCAGAAATTTTTCATGGCATGTCAAAGTTGGCAATTTATGTAGTATTCTTCTTTTTCAACAGAAGGCCGAGTCTCTTAGAGAAACTAGCCAGTTCATAATCACCGGTAAAACCATTTAAATACTAGTACGAGATAAATACCACAGATCAAAAAATTTTACAGTACTGGGCCTGTTTAAATTAGGTATCTAACCATTTGAAGCAATTCTTCTTCATTTGAAGGAGTTGGCATCCTTTGTTGCGGAAACTGGCCAGCTCAAGAGGAATTATCCTTCTAAACCTGTTACTAACGACCATATCCATAGTCCAGCTGTTATGCACCTCAAACCTACCGACACCTACCTTTTACGCCTGGAAATTCAACAAGTAATCCTTCAACTGATTGGGCAAATTCAGCTTATTGATGAAAAGCCCGGGCTTCCTTCCGAGACAGTTGTGAATCCGAACACGACACATCTGCTTGAGTGTGCGAGGCCTCTTGTACAGGTCCCTAATGATGAACGTCAGCGGCTCGGTCATTTTGCCAGGGACCAGGCTCAGCTGCTGAGTATGCAAGATCTTGAGGCACTCGAAGAGCGGCTTGTGCTGCATCACGCAATAGAACAGCATGATGATCTTGGAAAAGCACAAGTTTGGGTCAGTTATCAGGTTCTCCTTCCTGGATATAAGCATGACGTAGTAGTAGAGGATGTAGTTCTTCTTCTTCCAGATGCTCTGAGAGTGAAGCGGGTGATTCTTTATCGCCTCAGACAAGTTCAGCGACAGATCGGGATTGGCACCATACTGAATTAGCGTCAGTGTCAGATCATAGACGTAGTCGATGTCTTTGCAATCACGCACATTCTGAATCATATCCATGCACGACTGCAGGATGTGACTCGTTCGCCTGCTGACCCTCTCGTTCGGGTCTAATCCGTGGGTGAGCAGGACGATCAGCAGGTTCTTGATGAACTCAAAGTTGAGTTCTTTCTGAGCATCGCAGGTCAGGGTGATGTTCTCTGATACGGTAAAGACCAACACATGGAGAGGGGTCAGGTTCGCCCTATAACTGCAGTTCGGATTGGCTCCTTGCTTCAGCAGAATTTTGATGCAGTTCAGGTAGAAGACCTGTGAAAATAAAGAGTACCTAATATGTAGTATTGAGCAAATAGACATAAATCGTTTGTACCAATTATTGGAAATAGATGAATAAAAAAATACTGTTCGTAATTTATGATGCACTTTTTGGTGTAGTAATTAATATTACTGGAGTTTTTTCCCAACACCAAACCGTTATTTTAACACCTCGATACGTGTTTCGATCACCAAGTGATCATCTACAAGAGGAAGATCAAACTCCTGTTGAAGATGATCACTTGGTGATCGAAACACGTGTCGAGGTGTTAAAATAACAGTTTGGTGTTAGGAAAAAACTCCAGTAATATTCACTGTTCATAAATATAAAATCAAACAAATATTTTCTGAAGATTATTGCATATTATATGACTATTCATGATGGATTCTCTTTTTTCTTAGAGTCCCTCTCTTGGTGTTTTGATGTCTCATGTCCTAAAAGAAAAACTGTTGTAAACAAGAGCATTAATAATAACTGGATTTCTGACGATGTTGCCCAGGAAGGAAAATATCTAAAAGATATGTTCCATCTAATTTGGCCCTAAGTTGACCCTAGTAATATGGCTGTATTCAAATCTAGGCTGAAACAACACAAGAATAACGTTAAGCAAAAAAAGATTAGTTACTTTTCCATTAAAATTGACAATGCCAGTAACAAAACTAAAGAAATGTGGAATATAGTAAACAACGAGCTGGGAAGAAAAAGAAAGTGTTATGCTGATAATGTTATCACTCTCCATCATGAATCAGTTGTGGTTAAACACCCTTCTGCTGTAGCAGACCTATTTGTCCATCATTTTGCAAATTCTGCTAAAACGGCTATTTCCACACACTTAGGCCAAAATCTAACATTACTTGATCATCCCTTCTATAGCTTGGATGAATTTTTTATAGCCAAATTATCTGAATGAACTCATTATCCATATCTGTCATTGCTGAGGCTCAATTATGTGAATATGTATGTATGGATGGGTGTATATCCTATATGTACCATTATTTACTCTAATTTGATCAGATCCTGTGTTTATTTGTGTTTATACATCTGTAAGTGTTATTTTAACTATATTTTAACATACATCCATGTATGACAACTGACTTTGTCAACAAGAATTGTATTCTTTCGACAATAGAGCATATTCTGATTCTGATTCTTTGTACAACCAGTACGAATGTTAATATTGTACACTCATTTGAGAATGGACCGATTACTGAAGCTGAAATTAATGCTACATTGAGATTAATGAATAATAAAAATTCGAGTGGATCAGCCTTAGTCATTCCTCTTTTTAAAAAAGGAAATAGAAATGACCTGAATAACTATCGACAAATTTCATTACTTTGTTCTCTTTTGAAATTGTATGAAAAAGTGCTGACTACTAGAATAGTGAATTATTTAGAGTCATATAATATACTATGTAATAATCAACATGGATTTAGGAAAGATCGTTCCATAGAATTCGCTGCCTATGATTATCTCAATAACATATACTCCGAAGTTTTGATGCCAATAGTTTTGTAATTAGTATTTTTTTTGATTCGTCAATGGCATTTGACACTCAAATGAAACGAATAAAAACACTTTTGTCTAAATACCACTGGAAAATTTTATTTTACGACCGGTTTGGGGTTTGATCCCAATATCAAGTAAATGAAATGAATAAAAACACTTTTGTCTAAATACCACTGGAAAATTTCATTTTACGACAGGTTTCGGGTTTGATCCCATTATCAATTATAATGGTTTTATATAATATAATATGTTAACAATAGACACATAACTATGTTTGCAGATGATACCACAATGACAATCGCTGGGTCTACACTGGAAGATGTATTAACAAGGGTCAATATTATTTTTACAATATTTAATACGAACACATAATAATATGTGGTATAATGTGATTACAAAAATACTGCAACACTTTTTGAACAAGGATTGCACTTACTTTCATGGAATGTGTGAAGTGGTGCAGAGGATCTTTATTGATCAGTGGTACCAAACAAACCATCAACGGTACAGAGCCATCTCTTCCAACCACATTTGGATCTCCTGAAAAAGAAAAATTTGATGTTATAACATCATACAGCACAACAATTTTCAACAACTTTGAGAGAGTATTGACACTCACCACCTTCATTTACCAACATGTTGAGTAATTCATAACATACTTCCCAATCTCGAATGTGTCTCAAGACACAAGCTATGGCTGAATTCCCGACGTGGTTTATCGACTGCCTTGCGCCGCACTTTATCAGACACCTCACCAAGTGTAAAACGTCCCATTTTTTCCACTTATCATAGCCGTATTGAGCTTCTTCTAAAGCGTATCTGCAAATTAAGGAATTTTGTGCTTTCTATCTTTTACTACAATTATCTCGAAAACTAACAACAAATTTGGGTATAGGCATTGTTATATAAAGTGGGCCTAAAATGTGCTGAGAAATTAAAAAATGTAATAAAATAAAGGGTGTTCCATTTGAAATAAGGAAGTTGCCCTCAACTTCCGGTATAACGGAAAAAGACCGGAAGTTGAGATATTTTAGTTGAGAAGGCCATTTTGTAAAACCCACTAGCACAAAATTTCAAGTTTCTATTTTGAATCGTTCTCCGCATATATTCCTAACGAATGCTCGTCGTGAAAGACCCTGTATAGCAGAAGCACAATCGCAGAGATATACAGTGCATTTCTTTAATGAACTCCCCCTTTTATTTTTTCAACGGGTCAACTTAAAAAAATTGTAATTTGAGATAATGAAATTAATGCATGAATACTTTATTTTGAAGTAAAATTGACCGATGAAACTTTCAAGATGGCGATTGGGCCCCATCTGGGAAAAAAAAATAAATGGAGAGGGGGTCTTGTGACACATCTTTTTGAAGCCCTGACAAATGTTTCACAACCCTGGAATATAATGTTAATATCTTCAACTACTACAAAATGGCGGAACTTTTAATAATTGCCTGAATACATTGACATTCAACTACATAATATGAAGTAATAAGCTTGAGGTCAGATCAAAAGATGCTCGAAATGGTTGCCTTGAACAGCCTATCCGAGATTTCATGCCAAACATTTTTGAACACAGTAACGTCACAATATCTCCACAAATATTTATTATTCTCTGCCTTATATCCAATATTAAATCAGGTTCAGTTTCGTACACCTTTTGCCTCAAATAACCCCATAAAAAAGTCCAAAGGTGTCAAATCTGGCGAGCGGGCTGGCCATTCTGTAGGACCTCGATGGCCAATCCAACAACCGGGAATAGTATCCAAATAGTTTCTTGCTTGTCTGGAGTAATGTGGTGGTTCTCCATCTTGTTGGAATACAATATCCATATCGAATTAATTAGGATTCGCTTCGACAATGTCAGTGATGATAGGGTCAACAGTAGTTTCCATCATATTCAAATACAGTTCCCCTGTTAAATTTTGATCAATAAATAGAGGTCCTACAATAAGGTTTCCCAATATTCCAGCCCAAACGTTAATTTTTTTCTGGGTATTGGGTATTTGTTTCCCTGAAAACGTGAGGGTTGGTGTCATCACCCCAATAACGGCAATTTTGTCTGAGAACATTGCCGTTTAAAAAAAAGTACATTCGTCACTGAAACAAATATTGTGGAGATAGGTAGGATGCCTTGCTATGGTTTCCGTCATGATTTCGCAGAATTCTGTTCTTCGATCAGGGTCATCTTCAGTTAATTGGTGTACCATTGTAATTTTGTATGGATAATACCTATTCCTCTTCAAAAGTCTCCACACAGTAGAAGGATACACCTCACAAACATTCGCGACGGAATAAATAGACTGTTCAGGATTTACTACCATCTCACCAATTATTTGCACTTGCTGTTCTTCCGGAACGGACGGATGACCTGGGGGCTTTTTGTTATGTACACTACCGGTAATTGTAAATTTGGATACAATCCCCTCAAATATCTTTTACAGATAGGACGATTCGGAAAACGTTCATTGAAAATCCTCTGTCTCATGAAAGTTACGCGTCGTACCGTAAATATAAATCGCTTCAATTTTTCCTTCCAATGGATGAGAATTGACCATTTTAGAGATTGTTGACGTGGAACCTTCCTACTGGTAAAAGCAAAAACTGAATGAGAATATTCTAACTGAGTAATGATGTTCATTATCGTACTTACATTTTTTTGTCGTTTTTATAAACAAAAAATAACTTAACAAACCTTATCGGGTTGTTGGAATTGCCATATGGCAGATAAAAAGGAATATTTCTAGAAATATCAATTATTAATGTGTTTGTCTTCAGGAAATTATTAAATGTTCCGCATTATTTTCAATCTCAGTCGACATCTCGTAGTCGATTTACAAAATTCTCAGCACCATTCAATAATTTTCAGTTAGTAAATAGGTCTCATTATTACAGTTTATTTTATGATTTTCACTATAAACAGTTTTACAAAACCGTGACACTTGGGTCGCTATACAACAGCTTTATCAAGCGTTACTTATTAATTTGCAAAACCCTTTATAGTGAAAATCATACAATAAACTATATTAATTAGTTTTAATATGGATTTTCATCAAGTATCTGCCAGTTTTATTCAATTATAGAAAATAAGTCTCAAAAACTGTAATACTTCAAAGACAATTTAATACCAACTTTCAAATATCATATTTGCTAATGACATTCGTATAGACACCCATATGCTTCGCCAGTTTTCTGACACCTACTACAAAGTCCGGCGGCAGCTCGAAATTCTTCCACATGGGCGTGGAGCCCTCCTCAGCCGGGTCTGGGGGAACTTTCGTTTCTTTCAGTAGCTGCAGCAACTCGTTCTTTATCAGCGGATTCACGGAGAATCTGTAGTTTCCTGTTTGGCTATTTTTCTCTGCGATGTTTTTGGTCTTTCTGTGCTTGATTTTTTTCTTCATTTTAGGAATTTTCGAATGGAAAAATGGCGTTTCTAAAAGTCTCGTGACAGCAACTGACTTAATTGAAAGTGTCACGGTTTCGTTGTTGAAAGACATAAATTATACATGGTGTGTCAAATTAATGCAATAATAATTACCTGTGGAAAAACA